TGATCTTTGCTTGGAGTGACCTCCTTCAGTTACTTCCTTGTAGCTTAGTGGAACAATAGAGTAACCTTTGAATGGAGATGGGAAGCCCCCTGGCCTTTTGTATAGAATGGATAGGATTGGGACCAAATAGTATATATACAGATGTTAGATGACAATAAAGGGAGGTACCTGGCTAAGAGGAACCTGGCTATGATGATCACCTGAACACTGCCTCCGTGTCATTCCTTCTCCGCCGACTCCGTCCACACCTTTAGGAACCCCTGGACCCACTGGGGCTGGACCCCAGCAGGGATGTACCCTGGCCACAATGAACTGGACCTAACAAGGCTGCCCGGTGCTGGGCAGTTTCTAGGCTCTGAGAATGTAAGAGAGGAATAGGGGTCGGTGTGGCCCTGCAGGGATGCACACTTTTGCTGTGGGGCAGATAGGATGATACGTGGGACTGTGAATTAAACACAGTAATTTAATGTGCTCCATGCAGAACAGGTGTATGTGCAAAGTGGTGCGACGTGGCAGTCACCTACAAGCAGGTAAGAGGGTGACAGGATGGCCTGGTGCAGGAATCACAAGCCCATGCCCAGAGCTAGACTGCTCCCTGCACAGGCTACAGGCCAATAGGTCTTTAAATTCTCAGACCGCATTTCCTAATCAGTTTTAGAGAGTTAAAAGCCTGAGCAGAACACAGCTCCTCGTTATGTGTGAAGACATTTAATATCTTGTGTTTTTGTTTCTCATCTGTGTAAAGGGGTTCATAAAGCACACCTCATAGAGCTTTTGTGAGGATTAAAGTATTACTCACTGCAAAATGCTAACACAGTGCTTGGCACAGAGCAATCACCCACAAACCTGAGCATCGGGAGCTCCAAGTCACACTCCGCTTCGACAAATATCTTTTTCTAATTTCTAGAAATTTTTAAAACTGGGGATTGCCTTCTCCATACAGAATTTGGTAAGATCAATTTTGAAAACATACAACATAAAATGGGGATATTTCTTAAACATGTAAAAAAATACTTGCAAATTGTTTTGTAGGTTTGTGCTTAAACATTCCTGGGCAGGACAGGGAGGTTTGAAGGAAATATCAGTATCAAATCAATGAGGACATCTGAAGCCTGCGTGCTGGAACATAAACCTCATGCACCACTCCCCCTCCCCCCATTTCCCTGTGGGACAGCCGCTCCCTAACTGTGGGCTGGTGTTCCATTCGAGGGACACTGCAGGCACAGCTTTTCAGGGGGCTCTGGTTGGGACCTGAAAAAGTTTTGAGCTCCAAAATACAAAAGAAAAACCCTTGCAAGACTGATTGAAATTTAACACTTTACTAATTGTCATGTGTCAACTTCAATAATGTTGAATTTAACTCTTACCTATTTCATGATTGCCCAGAAGTAATCATCATTAATTAATCAAATATTTTAAAAAATCTTTAAAAGCTAATAATTCTATTTCCTTTTGTAACTAGAAGAATTATATTGACTGTGGGATATGGGTGTGTTTTTGGTGTTTAATGTGACAAAGGGTGGGGCTTCCAAAGGCTTGAGCGCCGGGGGCTGAGGCAGGCCCTGACACCTGAGCAAGGGGAGGAGAAAGGGCTCCTGCAGGTGTCAAGGCTCCTCAGGCCACACAGCTGCCCACAATTCATCACAAAGGCCCGGGCTCCAATGTAGACACTGCCAGAGAGGTACGTCCCAGCCGCCCCGGTGCAGGAGTTCACGCATTTTAGTGTGCGGCAGGCTCACTTGGAAATCTCTTTTTAAAATGCGTATTTTGGGGCCCCCCAAACCAGAATTTATGATTCAGCAGCACTTGGACAGTCCAGACCTTCCACGGGCCACACTTTGGAAAAGCTCTAGTGCAGCGGGTGTTCAGAGGAAGGAGGGAGGGGGGACTGGCTGGGTAATGCACCCGGACAAGGGAAGGTAACTGCCCATTTTGGTAGAGAGCTGCCTGGGGAGGGTCTTCCCAGCCATGACATCAGGAGGTTCAGGTGTGGCCTGAAAACCTCTGAGTGTCTGTCATGGATTTCTCATTCTCAAATGTAATCAGGTGTTTTCAATGTAAAAATAACACGCTCATCTTCGCATTCATAAAAGAGCACTGTCTTCGAACAAAAGCTTCCCGATTCAAGCTTCACAGCAAGTTTCCAAGCCCAGTATTGCAGAACCCGGGATGTCAGGACCAAGAGGAAAAGTGTCCAGTGGTGCCATTTTTATGACCGGGAAACTGAGCGCTGAAAGGGTTACATCACCTGCTCACAGTGACACAGCTAGTTGGTGGCAAACCTGGGACTCACGCTCTTTGTGTTCCACTTTGCGCTTTTCCGAATCCTCTGTGGTAAGCAAAACTGTTGCCTTATCTGTGCCATTTTGGACTGGTTTCCATTGAGCACTGCAGTCTTTCTCTCCAGGTCGTCGTCGGGAGGAATTGGTGTGGTAGTCTCATTGTGGTAGTCACGCTGGGAGGAATCCGGTGTGGTAGTCACATTGTGGTAGTCAGGAGCCCGGGCTTCAGAACCATATAGGGCCAAGCCCACATGCTGGCTCCACCACAGCAAATGCCTTCACTTCTCTGAACTCCCGGATAGCAGGGGGACAGGAAGAGCTACTGCATGGGGCTGCCTGCAGGGACTCTGGCTGTTAGATCACCAAGTTCTCTCCTGTAAAGTTAATAAGTCACTCGCTCCATATGTTCATATTCTCCAGGGCTCAGTCCAGCCTTCAGAATGGTGTCTTCCCCAGGTGAGCAGGAGGGAACACCTGTTTTCACTGACCTTCTAGCTTCTGCACTGCTGGGGTGATGTCTGCTGGGCTGAGCTCAGCAAAGCCCCCTGAGAAATAAAATGGCCCAGGGAAAGACGAATATACTAGACTTTCCAGAGGCAATCATCACATGTGGTTAGCAGAAAATTTTCATTCAATGTCCCAGTGAAAGGAAGCAGATAGGTATTAACCCAAAATTTATATTAGCCTTGGGGTGAATTATACGACATCAGAGGGTGGGTAGCAGACTTTTGTTCTGGATTATTTTATGCACAGAGACTATTAGGATTTATACTAGTCCCCGAGGGACATCAGCTCACAGGCTGGGAAGGCAGCCCAGAGGCCCCAGGATTTCAGGGTTTGAGGGAATCATGTGGCTCACGCAGACACTGGAGAGTGAACTTTTCATTTCACTTGCCAAATGTGTGAGAGGCGTTGTTACTTTCTCCAAAGCCCAGAGTTTATAACAGCTTCTCCTCTACACTGTGGGATCTGGCACTGCCAAACAGTGACTGCCACAGCCCGCCCCTGGAGAGAGGGTGCAGTAGGGACCCCACTGAGCACTGTTCTGAGCAGCCCCTGGCAGCTACATCCTTCCCCGCCCAGTTTAGAACTGCAGCAGCTCTTTATTAGCTTCGTAGAAAAACTCCATAGTGGTCTGCCAGTAATTCAAACCCGATGTCCCCTGCACACTGGCAGAGTTCTGTAGCAAGGAGCACCTGGTCTGTTACTTTGGTTGGAGAGCTGCCATGGAGCAAGAAAGTCACTTCTTTGGACTGGCCTCCCCATGAGGCAGTGTGGCCGGGAGAGAGCATCTATGGCTTTACCAAACAGATGGAGTTTGGAACCCTCATTGCACTCAGTGTCAGCTGTTTGACCTGGGGCCAAGTGGGCCTCAGCTACTCAAGTGTGAGCTGGAGATCTCTGTAAGCGCTGCTCCCCGGGTGTGGTGAGGACTGAAGGAGAATGTAGCACATGTCAGATGGCCCGCACATGGTAGGTCTAATGATCTTTCCGCTTAGGAGGGGCACTCTTAAAACAGGCTCCTCCTTTCCAAGAAAACACTCTTTTTTAGCTTTCTAAACCGGCAAAACAGCCTCCCTCTCCTCCACCCCCTAAACATGCCAATCTCAACAGAAACCTGTGAAAACACTAGGGGACATCATACCAAGAAATGCTTGCCCTGAGTGAGAATCACTGGTTAGAGCCAGATGCTTCTGTCTTTGGCTGTGGACTACCCACTTTTAGGGCCACATTCTGCTCTTAGGTAAGATAAGTTGGGCAATCTTGAGGACAGGAGATTTAGAACATTTCTTGAGCCATACTGAACCAGAAGCCAGGAAATAAGATGTTTAATTCCTAAGCCAAGCCCTTGCTCAGCCTGGGACTCAACTGCCTGATGCTCCTGTGGATTCTCACCAGAAGCTGCGCAGAGTTTGGAAGCATGTCCGGAGCAGGGGATTTTTAGTGGGTAGGACCTGTGTTCTGCATCCTCCCTCCTCTCCTCATATTTTTATCCTCAGGTGTAGGCCAGGGTCCTGGTTTCACAGTAGCTCCCATGGCCAGGACATTCACTACAGAAACATCAGGCACCTATTCTCTGTCTGCAGTGTGGGCATACAAAGAAAGAATTAGTTGATTTTTCCCCCTCAGACAGCTTACAGTCTGGTCAGAAGATAAAATTACCAGTCTGTCTAAATACTTAATCTTTTAAAGTCGCATAAGATTATTCCAAAGCCATAGGCATGATTATTTCTCAATAGAACCAAGAGCATGTTCAGTGTGGAGACTGTCTCATGGAGATTGGAAACAGTTTACGTGTCTGGAGCAACCAGATCTACCTCCACCGTAGGGGACATTTCTGCTAGCAGAGCAGTTTGGCACCTTCTTTCATGCCTCATTTTATCATCACCTTCTCCCGCGTCAGGTGATCACACTTCAGGTCCTGGAAGAAGTGTATCAGATTCCAGGCTCACTACCACAGCTGGCCCAGCATAGGTGCTCACTTCCCTTAAATTAGCGTTTCCTTTGACTTTCCATTTCATCCTTTCCCCATGGAACCATGGCTTTAAATATGGCCCCTGCAGGGGACCTGACTAATGGTACAGAAGCAGTCTGCCTGCTATTCCCGTCATGAGGCAGCAGTGGTGGCTGGGGATCAGATGGGGGGTGGGGGGTGGGAGGGCATCCTGAATGCTGCTCACCGAGCCCACACACCCTCCATACTCCTATATGGCCGGCTCAGTGAGACCAGATGGGTTTTGTCCTCTGGATGAAGGCCTTGATTCCCTCCTGCCCATCTTGCAGGGCCACGTTGTTGACCATGGTCGGGGGGGGGGGGGCGAGGTGGTTGGCTGTTCTAAGGTCCTCGCACACTTGCTTGTAGAAGGCGGCCTTGGCCAAAGACCCCAACAACCCCACAGGACGGCTCAAGGAGGCGATCTTTATCCTCCTTGAGTCTCATGGTCTCTTCCTCCAGCTGCTCTTCCGGCACTACTCTGCTGAGCAGCCCATGGAGCAAGGCCTCCTGAGCAGAAATGGGCTCCTCAGTAAAAAGCATTTCTGGGGAGGAAACGTGGACGGTTTAAGGCACCTCCTGACCCCCTGCCACCTACTCCCACCGCTCCATGTCACTCTGCTGAGACGGTCGGTGTCTTGACTTCCTGACAACCTGTGCCCAGTTCTCAGGAACAGATCGATCTTTCCAGGAGCAAGGAGAGGGAGGGACTCTGCTATCAGCCTGTCCCTCTGTCCAGAAGACCAAGGAGGTCTTAATGGGATTAAAGCTGCTCAGGAAAGAAGTTTTGACTGGAGTAGTGTCAGGGCCAGAGGCCAGAGTTCCTGGCCTACCTTCGACTTCCTAATCACCCCCCTAGTTTATGGCTCTTTCTGGGCCTCAGTTTCCTCACCTGCCTAGTGGGGTAATACTGTTTAGCACCATGTTGATTTATGGGGACTTTACCCAGGCAGATTAGGTAATGGAGTGGCATTCCCTAAGGAATAGAAAACCTGTTTATTTTATAGCATGCCAGCAACAACCTTTACTTACTGTTCCAGTTTCTATTTAGTGGGCCCCTGAAACTTCAGTGAGAGAGAAGAAAATACCTCCTTTCCCCTAATCGATTCTTGTTCATTTTAGGGGGTACTTCTTGGGTCTCCCTAACAAATTGGTGTTTTAATACTTCCTCCTCCTGGGCTATTTGCATTAAAAAAACCCCAGAAAAGTCTGGAGGCCAAGGCTCACTTCCAAGGAAGTGGAGCTTGTCTGGATGTCCCTTACTAACCACAAGACCTTAAGGCAGGGGTTGGGGAATGTGTGGCCCATGGGCCATATACTGGTAAGGCCTGTGAAATAAGTTGGTCTGGCCCTGCCAAGGCATTAGGGGTGAGTTAATTAAATGTTTGACCAAATATAGCAGGCTAATTTTTAAGCTGATAAATTTGTATGGCCCATGAATGATATTTATAAATATCCAAATGGCTGTTTGTAGAAAATAAGATTCCCCATCCCTGCCTTTAGGAACAATTTAACCCATTTAAATCTGTTTCGCTATCTGAAAAACAGGAATGAGACCACCATCCTCCTACAGAATTGTCAGGATTAGAGAAATTATGTGTACAGTTTATACTACAGTGCGGGGTACTCAGCAGGCACCTAATAAGTGCAGTGGCTATTATTCACATGCTTATTCCAGCTATAAACATGTATGAATCTCTAATTCTGTGATCATGGCCCCTGAAAGCAGACCTGTCTTCCAATCCCCTCCAGTCACCGATGACAAGAACCAGCTGGTGGCAGAGGAGGGGCTGGGATGCTGGAGGACTCAGAGGGGAATGAAGATGACAGGATCACGGGGCTTATTTAATTGGCTGGGCAACCTGAGAAGTGAATTAGGATGCTGAGCATGTTCTCAAAGGCACTAAGGCACCTCTGACGGCCACACGAATCACTGTTAGAGTGCAGGTTTTGATGTAGTCGATCTGGGTGGGCCTGAGACCTGCATTTCTCCAGGCTCCGATGAACCGCACACCAGCTGAGTGGCAATGCCTTAACACTCCTTCCAGCGTGGAAGTTCTACTCTGTTCTAATTAGACAACCGAGAAATCCGATTCTACACATACACAAGTAACCATGGGTAAACAGCGGCAGCAAGTGTCCCTACCACAGAGAAATGACTGGTTAGGGATGAGGGGGTTCGGATCTTCATGTGCTCTATGGAGGGTGCCACTCACTGAGGCACTGGCTCCACATTTCTGATAGGCGAAGGGAGCAGCTGCACCAGGCAGGTTGTTTATATGGTGCAATGAAGACGCATTATTTAACTCATGCCAGAGGAGAGAAACACTTTGCAAATGTGGAAAATTATTAATGCCCAGGCTCAGTCTGGCTTGAACACAAGGGCCTCATGCCATCATTTCTGCTCCCAGTAGGCCTTTGTCTCTGGCACAGCTGAGCAGTTTCCCATGGAGACCAGCAGAGTACTGGTGACCACATGTGTGGCCTTAGCCTCCATGAAAAAGGCCAACCTTCCCAATTAGGCCAGTTTGCAAAAGCACCTGGTTGCTTTCCTGTGGATGTGCCGGGGACACGTGCCCAACATGCACACACAGTCAACGGGCCTGTGTGTGAATGTGTTCCTGTGGGTGCAATCAAGCAATGACAACAGGTAGGTGTGTTTCATTCAGGTTTAGATTTTTGTGAATCCCCAGTTTTCCTCCTAAAGGGGGTCACCCAGGTAAGATCTGCAGTCCAGAAACCTGGCAAAGGCTTTGAGTGCCAAAAGGCTCTTTACTACATTAAATTCCCATGATCAGTACTACATTTTCAGCTCATATCTCTGTCTCATGCCTCCAAGAAGCTCCAAGTAGCCCCATGTGCAGGGACATCTGTTACAACTGGAAAAAACTCTGAAGACTTCAAAAACAAGAATACTACCCCTGACTAGTGATTTAGAGGAACACAGCAGGGATCTGAGTGGAACAACTGGGGATCCTCTCCCGACTTCTGAGTGGGCCTGGCACTGCCAGAACTTTCTGTGGGAGGAAACAGTTACTTTGATCTTACAAGGTCCTGCCCCTTAATTTCTCATGCTGGACAATTATGCAACATGGTTCTGAGTATTGGGTTTCCTGGGAACTGAAGTTCTGTTTTTGCCACATTTTCTCTCTCTTTCTTCTCAAAAATAAATTTAAAATTTGACAAATATGATATAATGTTTAAGTTTTTAGGACTCAATTATAAGCCTTGATTTTAAAAGTTTGTTTATGATAAGAGAGAATAGATTCTTAACATGGAACCTTCCAGAATGTCAGGTGTTGAAGATGAACAGCTGCAGTTATGCTTCATGCAGAATGTACTGATTCAAGTGAATTCTGGAACCAACCCTCCAGTGCATGTGAGAGTTACAACTAGAGAGGAGGCTGCAGGGGGTCAGATTACCATTCTCAGCACTGCTCTCTCCAAGGCCACCCCTGGGGTGGAGCAGAAGAGCCCAATGTTCACACCTGGAGTGGCAAATGAGGATTTCTCACTGTGAGGATGTCACAGCTGCCAACCAGCTGACAGCCAGCAGCGGTGGCCAAGCAGTTCACCATAGCAGTCACGGGGATGGGGTGATTCTGGTCAGCATCATGACCTGAAGAAGCAAACATACTAGTACAGTTCACATCCATCCAAGAGCGAGGTGCAATATTAACGGTTATTTCATATGACTTGACTGCTTTCAGAGCACTTTCATCCCCATTAGTGTCTCAGAGTCTATGGGAAAAGGACAGCAGGCACAAAGAGAACTTGCATTGAATATTGACTGTGGACCAGACTGTGCCATTTGATTCCTGAGAAGCCCAGGAGGAAGGAACACTACACTACAATCAGGACACAAGGCTCAGGGGGAAGGAACTGGCCTAACGCCACAAGTGGTGGTGGTGGGGTCTGAACGCACATCTGTCTGACTCCCAGCCCCTGGCCTCGAGCCTGCAGTCCCCTCCTCTCCGACTGCTTTCCCAGTGGCTCCACAGAAAAACAAAGCTGATTCTGTCTGCAGAATAGTTCTGTTCTCTGTGCCTGTGTGGTGCTCTAGTGTTAAAGGTCTGAAACTGATATTTGGAACTTCCTTGAAAAATTAAGATAGAAAAGGGTCTGGAAAGCATTTTTTCTAGTAATTCTAAAATTACCACCAGGAATACTCTCTCAATTATATTAAAACTAGTAACCCTGCGCATGAATCCATGCGCCAGTAGCTCACTGCTGCCCTCCAGTAGCTCTCTGCCCGCTGCCCCGCCCTTCTGTAGCTCCCTCCTCCCCCCGCCCCCCCATAGCTTGCTGCCCTGCTCCCTCTTGTAGCTCTCCGCCACCCACTTGTAGCTCGCTGCCCACCCTCCTGCTGATCTGTGATCTGGTTGTTACGCGGTCGGTCGTTATGCTTCATGGCGTAACAACCATTTGCATATTACATCTTTATTATATAGGACTAGAGGCCCGGTGCATGAAATTCAGGCACAGGTAGGGTCCCTAGGCCTGGCCCGTGATCAGGGCCGATCAGGGCCTTCTGGCTGGCAGCCGGGGCCTTCCTTCCCCATCTGCTGGCTGCTGGCTGCTGGCTGCTGGCTGCTGGCTGGGGCTTTCCTTCATTCTGTGCTGGCCCCTGGTGGTCAGTGCATGTCATAGCAAGTGATCGAACTCATGGTCTCCCAGTTGAACTCCCAAGGGGACACTTTGCATATTAGCCTTTTATATATATAGATAGGATGGTGGGGAACATCCTGCTGTCATCTCAATAAACAAAATTCCTTAAACAGTGCCATTGGCACAGAGAGAGCAGCCCAAATCTTGCTCATGTGATACACCCTTCCTCTCATAAGTCTCTAGAACTTTAACTTATTTTTGCAGCTTACAAAATAACTTATTTATTTCTCCACTTCTTTGTGACACCCTACACCAGTGATGGCGAACCTATGACATGCTTGTCAGAGGTGACACTCAAACTCATTTTTTTGGTTGATTTTTCTTTGTTAAATGGCATTTAAATGTATAAAATAAATATCAAAAATATAAGTCTTTGTTTTACTATGGTTGCAAATATCAAAAAATTTCTATATGTGACACGGCACCAGAGTTAAGTTAGGGTTTTTCAAAATGCTGACATGCTGAGCTCAAAAGGTTCGCCATCACTGCCCTATACCAAGTAAGTTAAACTCAAAGGCTAACACAGGCCAAATAAACAAGGTTTAAGTTTATGTGGGCCACAAAAAAACAAAAGCTTTAATTTTCATAGAAACATAGGTTTATTTCAATAGAGACATGCTGAATACAAAGGGCTGAAATAAATGAGTAATCATTAACCTAAAATAATAGAACATTTTAATAAAAGTTAATATTTTTTCTTGAACATTAACTTACCAGACACTGAATAACTGCACAAATTAATCAGTATAATGCAAATAAATCTATTTTTCTTGTTCTCCAAAAGCGAAATATTTCCTGTTGCACACACCAAACATGTCAGTACATGACTAATGACAGTCAGCATCTAAAATATTTGCTGCTAGTATTAGTGGAGAGAAATGGTGTGCCTGTGCTTAAGGTGTGTAAGGAAAATGAGTGCAACATGATTATAGTAATCAGTCATTAGTGAACATTGTAGTTCATTATTAATTATTATGTATAACAAGATATTGTAAAAATTAAGTTATGAAATTTTTATTAAAATGTTTTTTACAGCCCTAGCCCATTTGGCACAGTGAATAGAGCGTCGGCCTGCGGACTGAAGGGTCCCGGGTTCGATTCTGGTCAAAGGCATGTACCTTTGTTGCTGGCACATCCCCAGTAGGGGGTGTGCAGGATGCAGCTGATCGATGTTTCTTTCTCATCGATGTTTCTAACTCTCTATCCCTCTTCCTTCCTCTCTGTAAAAAAAATCAATAAAATATATTTAAAAAAACTTCTCAAATTAAAAAAAAATGTTTTTTAAATATCATTATATTGGCTGGGCTGCAAAAATATTCATTGTGGGCTGCATGAGGCCCATAGGCCTCGAGTTTGACATGCTTGCTCTACACATATTGCATTGTTATGGTAATTTCTAATGGTTGCTCTTTGAACCTTGGCAGGGAAGGAGGGGAGGCAGAGAGGAGTTTCATCCAAAAGCCTTACTATGGGCTTTTCTACCATGATGGCAACTCAAAGAAAGAAGACCTTCATTGATTTTGCCCAAGGAACTTACCTTTGTCTTTATAAGCATTTGATATTTGTCATCTTTATTATAACACTAGAGGCCCGGTGCACGAATTCATGCACTGATGGGGTCCAGCCAGCCTGCCTTGATGGGGGTCATCGGGGGCGGGCTGGCTGGGGCAAGGGGCTGTGGGCAGGGCCGGCTGGGGTGAAGGGCTGTGGGTAGTTTGCCGGCCAGCCCCACCCCCAATCATGATGGGGGCGCCCGCTCGGGAGTGGGGCCATCAGGGGCGAGGGGCCGCAGGCGTTCTAGTCATTCCGCCGTTTGGCCAATTTGCATATTACCCTTTTATTATATAGGATAACTAATTATATATTTAAGGATATGCTATCATATTCTATAGTAGTGGCTCTTGACTTTTTTGGGGGACACCTTTGAAAAATCTAAGTGCTAGTGACCCTCTTCATAAATGCACTTTTGTGTTCCTGTACCCCAAGCAACTCATGGATTATGGGGTTCATGGACTATAGGTGAGAATAGGGATGGTCAGTGACAGAGCTTGTTCACAGTGAGCTACAGCAACAAGGAGAAGAATGCACAAGAAGTTCAGAAATCTTACTGCAAAGAAAGACAAAATTTTGTTTAGCTCTGTGTGTCTCCTGTCACCCAGTGAACTTCAGATATTTATGTAAAGTCAACTGGCTGTGATTAGACTTGTTTGTCTCCGGTCTGCCACCTAAAAAAGGATAGGATTTCATATTGTCTGGTGGGAAAATAGTTAGGGAATCCAGTATATATCAACAACATTAATACTACTCATATCTTTGATCTAGGAATTGTACTAACAAGAAACCATCTGAAAGGGTAAAAAGTTGTCTGGTCAAAGATGTTAACTAAATCATCACTCCATAATAATAAAATCTATAACTAATAAGTGTATAAAAATAAGGAAATGGCTATGCTAAATAGACTATATTCATTTCATCTCATTAAAATGAAATTTTCCAAGAGAAACATCAGCATGGTAATTTGGACCTTATATAATAGAGCCAGCTGGGGTTTGATGAGCAGCATAGACTCACTGACTGCCTAACACTCAATCTTCACATCTGTAAAATGGGCATAATAATAATAACAACTTTACAGAACATGAGACTTACATAAATTAATATGTCTAAAGTACTCAAAATATTACCTGTAACACCATAAGCATTCAATGTTATCTGATAAAATTATAATGTAATCATATCTATGTATGATTATTCAGACAAATATATATGTAGAAAAATGATTAAAAAGAAATGTAGTGAATATTTTTATTAATTAGATAGTTCACTCTGGGTGGTATGATCATGGTATGGTATCAGTAATTTATTTTTCCTTTTTTTCTAGATTACCAAAATTTTCTGGAATAAGCATTTATAACTTTTATAATTAGAAAACAATTAAAATAAAGTTAGAGAGCAATTGCGAGAATAAAGCAGCCAGATAATTTAGACTTTAATAGTCAAGAATTGATTATTCCTCCTATTTTACCCCCTGAATGAAGCACTTTTGAGGGTCCAGCCTAATCCAAAATGTGACATAAATTTGTCTCTGCCCTACCCTCATTGAACAGCATTGCTGAGGGTCCACATCATATCCAAAGGCCAGAGGGCCTATGCCATTGTCATTTCTGGGTAGGGGTGTGAGGAGAAAGAGAAGAATCCCCTGGACTGGGGTTTCCACTGTCAAACTTCACAGAATATTGAAGAAGACAGTCAAGAATAGGTGTCCAGGGAAAGCTCTGCATCAGCTCACAGAGGTTACTATCCCTCTTCCATAACCAAGTACTTCTTCTCATTCTCAATTTGCCCTATTTCTGATTTTTTAAATAATTAACTATCATGCCCTACTCGTGGTCTAAACAAGTTTGTTATAGATTTTAGAGATGGAGTTAATTCAGATATCTCTATCTTCCTTTCCAAAATCAAATTTCCTCATGCATGAACCCAACGTGAAATATCTAGCTCATTCTGTTCCAATCTGCCTGTTGATTACACTTGAAAATTGAAATCTTGCACAAGTTTATGGCACTCATATATATTCAGACAATTTGATTTTCTTAGGGAAAAAATGTTAAAGAAATCAATGCATTTTCACTGGATCAGTGTTTAGGCACTGGGCCCTTTTCAGTGAGCTGGAGGCAGCCGCGAAATCAGTCTTGATCCTCTGAAGAAGCCTGGCTTCTGGTGGCCCTTTGGCAACTTGTTTAGATCCCAGTTCAGGCAGATCCCCCCCAGAGTGATAAAAGCAGGTCCTTTTGGGTAGATGGAAGGGCTCTACTGGTTCTCTTTGATGATTTTCTGTTTTGGTCAAACTTACTGGGTATCAATAGGAAAATAACTTTTAAAGCACACTCAGCAGAGGAGCAGACAAACATAGGAGCAGAGTGTTAAAATCATTAATGTGAAACAACAGACCTAAGTCCTGGCTGTGGCTTGCTCTCTCCTCTCTCATCAAGCCAATCACTTTCCCCCTTTGTCCCTCCAAGAAGTGAGAAAACTATAATTTGATCTCCAGAGGGTTTCTGGAAAGGCAAGAAAAGCAAAGGATGGTAAAGAAGGTATCCTATTCACCATCTGTTCCCCAACCCCCCATTGCTCACCTCTGTCTTTTCTACATAGCAGGTATTATTATCTATTTGTTGAATCACAAATGATCAAATTAATAAATGAATAAGTGTATAAATAGTGAAAAATTAGGCTAAGTTGCCTTAGATCAATGTTTCTCAACTTTGGCTGCACATTAGAATCACCTGGGAATCTTTTTAAAATCCTGATTTCTGGGCTTCATCCTCCGGAAATTCTGTTTCTTTGTTATGGGGTGGGGCCACAACATTAGTAACAAAGAAACAGAATTTCTGGAGGACGAGGCCCAGAAATCAGGATTTTAAAAAGATTCCCAGGTGATTCTTATGTGCAACCAAGGTTGAGAACCACTGCCTTAGATTAAAGTTATGAAACTATTTCATACGTCTTGTTTCTCAATTAGATTTCCATTATTAGTTTGGCAAGAAACTCTTTTTCCTTCTATTTCCTTCAACATCATGGAAGTATCATACATACATACAGCAGATACTCAATAAATACTCCTGAAATGAACAATGTGTTATGTAAATTGGTCGATCAGTGATTCTCTCATCATTGATGTTTCTATCTCCCTCTCCTCCCTTCCTCTCTGAAATCAATAAAAAACAAAACAAAACACATAAT